CTTCTCTCCCCCAGCATTTCAGCAGCATGTGCTGATCTCCTCAGGGATCAGGCCTGGGATTTTCCCCCTGGGCCTGAGTCCCAGCACGTCCACCCTCAAGGCCATTGTCAGCAAAGCCTTTGCACAGCCCAGCTCTGGGGGCTTTCAGAGCAGCTTTCCCCACTGCAAGTCTGTTCTTACCCCGGTGCCCCCACTGAGGGGCTGTAGCCAGACAGGTCCCAATGCCCTGTGTGTGGGGCACAGGCAGGAGGAGCTGCAGCCCCAAGTCTCTCTTCATTCCACTTGCAGGCAATAACAGCCCAGGCCTGCTGAGACAGTTCCCAGGTTGCAGGGCTGTGATGGGTTGGGAGAGAAGGACAAGGAGACACAGGAGAGAAAGTGTAGGAGAGAGGTGTCCTCAGCGGGAAGGAGCTTCTTGGACCTGTGGAGCTGCTCTAGGGGATGAAGAAATTGGGTGAACTTTTGTGGGTGAGGGTCAGCGGAGAGAGTGGTTTGGGTGACATTGTGGAGTGAGACCAAGTGCCCATTCAAGTTGGCTTTGATAACCCTGGAATTCACTGGAAAGGCACCACAACAGGATGCAAAGAGTCCCAGAGGTTTGTGCAGGGTCTTGGTGAAGACACCCCTTGGGACACAGGCCTTTAGAGCACAGCTGCCAGGTTGGTGGAAAAGAGGGAGGCTCATCTGCATCTGTTTCTCTCCAAGATGAACCAAGAGATTCCCATAGAAACTAACCATAGCAATAGGAATGTATGGTGGTTGCCATGGTAACCGATCATAGCAATGGGAATGTATGATCGTTGCCATGGTAACTGACCATGGGAACAGCAGTGTATGATGGTTCCCATGGTAACTGATAGTAGCGATGAGAACGTATGATGGTTGCCATGGTAACCGACTGTACCAGTGGGAAGTATGATGGTTCCTGTGGTAAATGATTGTAGCAATGGGAATGTACGCTGGTTTCCATGGTAACTGATCATAGCAGTGGGAAGTATGCTGGTTTCCAGGGTAACCGAGCGTAGGAATGTGACTTTATGATGGTTTCTATGGTAACCGAGCATAGCAATGCGAATCTATGATGGTTACCATGGTAACAAACCATAAGAATGGAAATGTGTGATGGTTGCCATGGTGACTGTAGCAATGGGAATGATTTATGCTTGCCGTGGTAACTGACCGTAGCAATGGGAATGTATTGATGGTTGCCATGGTAACTGACCATAGCAATTTGAATGTATGATGGTTGTCATAGTAACCAACCATAGAAGTGGGAATGTGTGCTGGTTACAATGGCAAACGACCGTAACAGTGGGAAGTATTATGGTTACCATGGTAACTGTCTGTGAAACAGGAACATAAGCTGGTTGCCATGGTAACCGACTGTAGCAATGGGAAATTATGTTTTCTGTCATGGCCACTGACAATAGCAGTAAGCATGTATGATGTTTGCCATGGTAACTGACTGTAGAAAGAAAAATGTATACTCCTGACCATAGCAATGGGAGTGTATGATGGTTGCCATGGTAACCAATCATAGTAACAGGAATCTATGATGGTTGCCAGAGTAACTGACCATAGCAACAAGACTGTGTGATGGTTGCCATAGTAACTGACCATAGCAATAAGACTGTGTAATAGTTGCCATGGTAACTGAG